GAAAATGCACAGCCCTTCCAAGATATTAAGTTTAGAAATGAACAATCATTTCAAGACATTAAGTTTACCACATTTAGAAACAGTTCATGCTAACAACTATAGTATATATCTGAATGAAACCCAAGCATGCTTAGAAGACTTTAATTCCAGAAAATTCTAACACTAAATAAAAAATGCACAAAAAATAAGACTTGCCGAACATCAAAACATACGAGGAGTACCTGGCTATTGTATTAGAGTATTACAGTGTAGATATTTACATGGAAAGAAAACCTGTAAATAACCAAATTCACAAATATGAATTTAAATTTGTATCAGAACACGACAAAAAAATCTACTCAAATTGAAATTACTGAAGTAGTGGATTTCCCAACTAAAAATTAGCATCAGATTCTTACGAAATCAGCAAGGAGATAATAGTAATGTTATGCATACCTACAAGGTTGCAATTCAGGAAGAAGCCACCTATAAACCCGAAAAATGAACTAATCGGACATCATTTATCATCAAAATCCAAATGAGATGAAAATAAGATGTCCTGTGTTTTCTATTGCCTATAAACCCCAACGCAAAAGATGCTTTCGTTTGAAATCCTAGTTTCTTGCCAAACCATAAAATAAAATTCCCAAATAAAGTAAGCAAATGGCCTAAACAAAAAAGAAATCAAATGTAAAGAATACCTTTGATGGAAAACAAATTAAAAGGGGAAGCAGCGAGAGTTGAGAGTTCTCAATAAAGAGAAATGAGAGAGAGGCTTGCAAATTTTGAGAAAAAAGGGATAGAAAATAAGTGTAATCCAATAATCAGATAACGAAAGGGTACACGGCCCAAAAATCTAAAGGCTGAGAGAGATCCATTAGAAAAAATATTGATCATGGTCAATAAATAGCACAAAAGCAATGTTTTAAAAACCGGATTGTTAATTGAACCGGTGAAGTGTAAGGGTCGAGATTCAATCGGTTGGACCGGTTCAACCCCGGTTCAATGAATTTTTTAAAAATAATTTATATGAATATATATATATATATATATGCACAAAATAAGACATGTAATGGACTAATTTAATACTTTATATGATGAAAAGTTTACAATTTTTTAATAACTTTGATTTTTAAAAATAAATTTTTTAAATTATAAGTTAAAACAAATAAATTTCATCTCAATTTCAATTATATCTAAATCCAACCCAAAAATTTCACAATATTTTGAAATTATACAAAATTCACGTCTATGAGAATTTAGACATTGTGAACTTAAATTTTAATTTACGTTTTGGGATTTAGATATTGCAATTTAAAAAAGGAAGTTTGGAATTCGAAGGAAGTCAAAAGAATCGAAAATAGAAATGTAAACTTGATAAGAAACAAAAAATGAGATAAAAGTGAGTGGTTGTGGCATTAAATAATTTGGGTTAAAGAAAAATAATTCTTTTTTAACTTTTTTCAATTTAATGGACAAAAACAAAATTAAAAGATGGAAGAAAATATCAATAAATTAAAAATAAAGAGGTTTGATTAAAAAGGGAGTGACAAAAGAAAAGAGGAGAGAGAGAGAGTTGAAGATTAAAAAGAAAGAGCCATGAGAGGATGAGATTTTGTAAGAAAAATAGAAAAAAGAAATATGAGTGTTTGTTTTATATAAATAAGTTATCAAAAAAATTAATAAGATGTGATGGTGCAATGGTTAATACATTGGTCTTCTATTACAAATGTCTTGAGTTTGAATCTTGATATTTGCATTTTGCAAAACTTTTTTTTAAAAAAAAGGGGGGGGGGGGAGAGGAAGTTGAAAGCTGGAAATCACCGATTCAATCTGATTCGACGGTTTTCACGGTTCGACCGAATTTTGATTGATTTTTTGACAAAGTCGCGAACAGGCCAGTCCGATTCGATTTCCAAAACAGTGCATAAAAGTGGCTGATTTTGTAGACAAGCATGTCAACTTTGAAAGGCATGTATGATTTTGATGGACTAGAAGTACGCATAAAAGTTGGAGAAAGATAGAATTGGAAAGAAATGCATGGTCGTCTACTATGACTGTCAACCACTGATTTTACCTCAATAGCCACCACGAGGGATTTAAGGCAAAAAAAATCTAAGAATAATGTTATAATATTTTTTTGATCTAATCTGATCCTTAATACATAAGTTTTCTTAAGCTTCCATTCTCTGTAAATTAAGATAAAATAAATTATACAATTATTATCATTATCGGAGAAAAAAAAAAAACTACGACTGTCAGAAGCAATCTCTGACTCTCTTGATTTCTCTTACAACAAGTAGCGGGCTCCATTGTTAAAAGCTTCTTGATGTCATTTGATGGGTCAAATGTCGAGTGACCCTACTGGAGAAAAATCTCTCCATTCTAGCTGTCACGTGTCAAGTAATAAGGGTTGCTATAGTGAAAGAGAACCTTTATTTATTGAGTAGGTAGATATAGATATTTTATTATAAAAAAGGTTAAACTTGAAAAAGGAAAAAGTATTGTCAAAGTATTCGAATCTAAGATATCTAATTTTAAGGTCTCAATTTTAGTTACTAAATTAAGATCTTCTCAGCTGATTGCACTTAGATCTAATTATGACACACGAGAATTCCATCATTTATTTATACATGAAAGGCCTCTTAAAAGTAATACATAAAAGACCTTTTAAAACTAATACAATTTAGAGAGATTTTTTTAGGGATATTTTTTCTAATTTATTATTTGGGAAAAAAGAGCAAAAAACAACATAGGAACACAATTGTATATTTTATTACAAAAAGACAATAAACTCATTAAAAAAATATTGTTGGTAAAAAAAATATTTTGTGATTATTATTATTCATTGAAATCATAGCAATAGCATTCAAATAGCAAAGGAAAATAAACCCCTGCAAAAAAAAAAAGAGAAAAGGATATGAATTGTTAAAAAAAATAATAATTCCATCCAAGAGGTTAAAACAAAAAAATAGATTGCTCCTGTATCTATTTTTTCTTCTGGCGGAGGATAGGGTGGAACTTAAAAAGCAAATAAGGGACAAGGAGATTTATACTTAGAACCTCTAATTTCTAGAATCTCAATTTTAACTACTAAACCAAGGTCTCAAAGACTGATTGCACCTCTGTGTCATTTATTTATACATGAAAGGCCTCTTAATAAAATTAATAATAAAGATGGCAGCAGCACTACAATCATGTATCAAGCTTATTTCTTTTCCTTAATTTGAAAAAGTGAAGGCCTTAACAAAACTCCGGGCACAAATTAATACAAACTTGTTGCAAAGTGGGTAAAAGAATTTGTGAATAATTTTTTCTCTAAATTATTATTAAAAATAGAAAGAAGACAACTGAGTAATACAATTATATATTTTATTATAAAAAATCTCACAAAAAATTACAATTTAGAAAAATGATCATGACAAAGGTGCAGTAAAATGGGTAGTTAAAATCTAGGATGATTTTTTTTCTTAATCTATTATTAGAAAAAAGCAGTAAACAATACATTAACACAATGGTATGTTTTATCACACAAAAAAAGAATAAACGCGCACAAAAAATTCCGCACTAAAAAAAGGATGTTTTTTCGATTATTATTACATAAGCAATAGAATTCAAATAACAAAAAAAAGAAAGAATAAAACCCCACAAAAAATAGAAAAGGATATCAATTGTATATAAAAAAACGAAAAAGGTATAAAAGAAAAGGAAAAATAACAACCCCATCTAGCAAGGGGAAAAACAGGATCGTATTTGTGCAATAAGCATTCCAGTAGCAGTGCAACTATTACTACTACCTATGAAAGGTAAATAACAGTAATAATCATAAGATAATAATAGTAATATAATAATAAACGTAACAATACGGTAAGCAATTTAACAGCAACAAAGTTTTTGGGAAAAAACAAAGGAACAAGAACGGGAAAAAAGAGCAAAACCGGTAAGAAATGCGGCACCTCCACAAATATAATATAATATAATATAAGAAGAACCAAAAAAGAGCAAAACAGAAGGAAGCATTCCATCCAAAAAGAAAAAGTACCACGCAATAATAAAGAATTTGGTAGGCGCAATTTCTTTGGCAAACTATTTTTCAAGAAAAAGGAGAAAGCTACATATTCTATTATAATAACAAAGTTAGGATACTTAATTTCTGCACCCTTATCTTTAGTTACTAAACTAGGACGTCGCCAGCTGATTACATTGGTTATTAAATCATACATAGAAGGCCCTTTATTAAATTCCATGATTCATCAAAGACCTCTCAAAAGCACCACAATTCATAAAGAATTTTCGAAAGAGTAATTTTTTTTTGACAACTTATTATTCAGGAAAAAGGAGAAAATAACATAATGGTACAACTGAATATTCTAATAATAATAATAATAATAATAAATTAATACTAATAATACTAATAATAACTGTAATACACATACTACAAAAAATAATAACATGGCAAGCAATTAAATAGCAGCAGAGTTTGGGGGAAAAAAGGGGAAAAAGAAGAGGGGGGGAAAAAGGAAATCCAGCACCACGACAAATATAATGTAACACAACAAGAAGAATAAAATGAAGAAAAGAAGAAAACAAAAAGAACCACTCTATCCAAAAAAGCAACTTCCAATCCACAATGCACGTGACCTGAGCATGCAGGAGGAGGACGACCACCAACTAATTTAAGGGATTTGGACATCATCTTTTTAAGTTCAATTAATCCTACCAAATGATGGAGAGGAGCCCAAGTCTCTAATTTAAGCATTCTTTAATATACAATATTTTTTTTCTTGTCTCTTCTTAATATTTGTTGCAAAAAAAAAGGGGGGGGGGGGATGCTTTAACATGTTAATTAAAGAAGGAAAAGTGTATCTTGCATATAGACTTGTGCTTATTTAACTATAAGCATCATATCAATCTGTAGCAGAATTAAAAAAAAAAAAAAGAATTGACATTTTATGGCTAGCTGCATCAATTCAACAACAAAAAAGGGGGATTCTCCAGAAATTGCTTTCAAGAAACTTGAATTAGACTTCCTGTGAGGGATATGACTCTCCTTCTTCTTCTTGGCTGGAACTCCGCGCATCAACACAATCTTCAATTATGATCTTTAGAGCCTCATTTCCCATATCTCTCTGTTCTTGTTGAATTTGCTTCACTGAACTTGCAACAGACTCGCGACATCGTTTCACCTCAATCATTTCAAGAGTAGGACATTCCCCTAAACAAGAAGGCACCTCTTCCAACTTCGGACACCACTGGACAACCAATTTCTCAAGACGGGGAAAATTATCAGAAGATGCAGTCCACTTGCGAAAATTCAAAAAGCCTCTCAATTTCAAGACTCGGAGCTTAGGGAACTCCTCTTCTTTCATTTCCCATTCTTCCCCAGGGGAGCTGTAATAACAAGAGAGTAATTTAAGCACTTCAAGATTGGGCAACTTTCCAATTGTTGAGATTTCACTCCATAGATGCTCATAAGTGAGAGTCAACTTCTTCAAATTCAAAGGCAATTTAAATCCGTAACTGTTAAATATGTTAACGTCAAATAAATGCAGAGCCAGTGATTCTAGTTGCCTCAAACAGTCAAACAAGGGAATCTCGGCGCCAGTATGTTTTTGTCTTGATGCCGCCACCGTACATCTTAGCCTGCGGATGTTTGGTAACTTTGTCAGTATCTTTTGCAAGCTTTGAGAGGAGGGGCCAATGGCAAGGCTTAAACTGTCTAAACGATTTAAACCTGAGGATACTTCAAGATTTTCAACAGGAAAAATAAAACCAACTACGGGATTTGTAGTCCATAGATGCCTCAATGTCTTAATGTTCCAGATAGTCTTGGGTAACAAACAATCAGAGGTGTTTCCTCGTAGCAGAAAAGTTTGTAACCTTGAGAGGTTAGCTATTGCAGCTGGGATGAAATTTACTTCGCTAACACGAAGAGCCAAGTATCTCAAGTGAGCAAGCAAAAGTACTTCCATAGGAAAATATGCAACAAACTCCAATTCCCCCAAATCCAACACTCTTAGAAGTTCTGGTAACCAAAACCCCAAATCATCCTTATTAAACAATAACAAACTGCGTACATTGGGAAATTCTAGCATTAACTCCCGAATCATCAAATTCCCGGCATTTTGATCACAAACTCGGAGGGGGTTGCTTGGGCCAGTAAGAATAAAACGATCATTCCGACCATGCAAAACATGTAGAAAGTTTTCTTCTTTGGCTTTTTTCACACAAAACTCATGTACCAAATCATGAAGTTGGCAGGTTTTGGCACCACCCATGGTTCTTTGTTCAGAAACCATAACTAAACTTCTATCAACCAGATCCTTCAAATAGTCATCTGCCGCATCCTCTAAACTCTTTCCTTCAATCTTTCGCACGAAGCCTTCAGAGATCCAGAGCCATAACAACCATCGGACAGGAACATTTTCATCTTCTTTATATGCACCAAAGTAAAGAAGGCATGGCTTCAAATCATCCGATAAATGACTGTAACTCAGCTCAAGCGTCTTCATGCAGTATTCGTCATCAAGGACAATACTGGAAGTTAGACTCTTCGCAACTTCTTCCCAATAGTCTTCTGCAGTATTATCAAGAATTCCAGCAACAAGAACAACTGTGAGAGGTAAGCCCCTACATAATTTTGCTATTTGAGATCCAGCTTCACCTAATGTCGGAGGAAAACCATCTTTGCCAATTAGCTTTTTCTGCAGCAACGTCCAACTCTCTTCATCAGTAAGGTGGCGGAGATGGTGAGCCTTGGTATCAGGTTTGAATTGCAATTGAATTCTGCTGGTGAAGAGAATCCGACTTCCGTTAGCATCATCGGGCAATGCTCTCTCCAGCAAATTCCATGCCTTAATCTCCCAGACATCATCCAAAAAAATGAGATACGTATTTCTCTTTAAAAGTTTGTACAGCTTGTGAACCAAATCACTTTCATCCATCTCAAGATATTCCCCAGGACTTCTAGAAGAAATACTACATAAAAGCTGAACTAACAAACTGTGCATGCTATACACTTGAGAAACAGTACACCGAGCAAGGATATGAAAGTGGCTCAAAATTAATGCATCATTGCAAACTCTATTGGCCAATGTTGTCTTACCAAGTCCAGCCATACCCACAATTGAAACAAAATCCAACAGCTTTGAACCCCTGGTAAGACCATGAATAATTGCCTTTACCTCATCATCAAGACCCACCAGAACTTCATTCAACATTGGGGTGCGACATTTTGACTCAATGCGGAAAGATTTCTGGGTAGTTCTCTGAGCTCCACAGTCATGCATCGTGCTATCATAGGTTTCAAGGGCCTCAGTCCTCAAAAGCTGGATATCTCTAGCAACTCTTTCCAAATATTCATGTTTATCACCAACCACGATAGAGTCAATGACAAACTCTGCCCTGTGCGCAACCTCCATAACACGACTCCAAAGAGCTTGGAGTTTTCCATTCCGGTTGCGCTGGTCTGCTATCTTGACAAGGAAAGATCTTAAGACTATGAGATCTTCTAGGACTGTGTGGATTTGATCTTTCGGGAATGCAATTGAATAATCAGTCTCACTACAATTTTCTAGTTCCTTCAGATTTTCAAGGAGAAAATCCATAGAGCCCAACTCATTGGTCCTAGGAAAACCAAATGGCGAGAATAGTAATGTAACTGGATCAGTAACTTCTGCCCTAATAAACTTGAGCACTTTAAGCAAATGAAAAAGAGCAAGATCGGTTTCCTTGGCCAAGCCTTCTTTGATTTGATTCACAGAAAGAGAGAAAATTACAACCGCTGCATCACAGGCCACAACTCCAATAAGATTCTTCATTTCATGGCATAGCTCTTTGAACTTCTCCTGATGCCTGAGAAGGATTGTAAGGAATCTTAGCCCCTCAACAAATTTGAGCATTTGATTCATAATCGGGACTGGAGTATTGGTACAAGATTTCAGCAGCTCCATAATATTGGGAACGAGATGATCCATAAAGTCAGCTACTAAATGCTTATTCTTCTCCAGATCTGAAATGTCTGATGATCTTGATAACTTTGCAGCAGTCAAGACATGGATGTAAGTTTCTCGGACCTGGGGATCACCGGGATTAATCCTCTCATCTATTAGTCGAGAAATTTGAAGTCTCATTTCCTTGCATACTTCATTATTATCTATGGCCTTGTTAAACCACCATATAGAAAACAGACGTAATGCATTGATAGCCACCACTTCAGCGTGAATCAAGAGATCTATCAATTGCTGACCCTCGACACCGCGAAGCATAGCAAAGTGAATGAAACTCTTCAAGAACATTAGCTTCTTGGAATGGGATACGCCAATTTTCGCCAGATTCTCGGAAACCGAATCGATGAAATCCATAACTAGCTCTGGATCTCGCAGCCAGTAACAGTCTCGCAGATAGTTGATAAACGATTCGTTGATATCTGTTTCGAAAAACAACTTGATTGCTTCCAGGAATATGGTGAGCTCACTTTTAATACGAGTCAAATCAGGCGATTGAGGATGAATGAAGTGTTCGCTTTGAGCAAATTCAAGATCTTGCATTCTCCTGGTAATCAGATCTTGAATTCTGGAAGACGTAACATCCTTCTCCTTCTCATCTTGTTCCAAACAGGTTTCATGGTTCCTCCTCCTCCTACACATTGTCAGATACAGATCAAAGCTTTGTAATAGTCTCACCCCCATCTTCAGCTTCCGGATAAGATCATCGTACTCTAGGATGGTATTATCCAACCAGCGAAGAGATTGTAGAGCGAACTCGAAGCAACTAGTGCTACTACTGTAGGATATCTCCATTATTGTATCTTCTATTCACTCTGAAATCAAATTTGTATCTTGAATAAACATTTTATTAGTTCAAGGTTAACAACTTTCTCATGATATGAAAATAGTCAAATATTGTCGGCAAGACTCTTAAATTTTCCTGGCAGGGCCTGTGGATACATTAGGGGCCCTTTCCAAGTAAACGCTACCGATTCGAGGCAAATCTAGATCCTACTGCAGTAAATGGTTTATAATGCTTGCTGTTCATTTTCGATAGCTACAAAAACTGTAAATAGTTACAATTTTACCAGAACGTAAACGCTACAGTCAAAACTACTCCTACTAATATCTTGAACTATTTTTTCATCAATACCATCATTATCCATGCCAATGCAAACTCAATTAGAAGTTTGAGGGCATCCAAAACTCCAGACATATTAAGGTAACAATTCTTAAAACTCCAGGTAACCATTTGTTAAAAATCCATACACAAACTCACCCGACAAATCGTACCAATTTCGAGATATGATGGATTTTAACTGTGATTTTCTTGAAAGAAGGCATTGATTGCTCTTTGACTACTGTATAGCAGGGCGGAAAAAGCCATAACAATTAGATAACACAAACCGTCAAAACCTCCTTTTTTTTTTTTTTTTTTTTTTTTTTTGTGCGTGCACGCTTGTTTTGTGGTCTTAGGCTACAAAATAGGAAAATCTCTTATTTTGGAACCAATTTGGTTAGGATACTTCAACAAGTAAGAATACAGGTGTTTATACTCTAATTACTCTGTTTGTTGTCAACCATGAGGGTTCTCAAGATTGCAGTAACAAAAAAAAAAGGGAAAACTGCATAAATAGGTCTCACTATTGATTTTAGGAGTTTTTCGAAAAAGATGCAAAAATTCATTTTGACTAACTATAATTTTTTTGATTTTTTTTGATAAAACATATAATGTACACTATCAAAAAAATGATTGAAAATATATCAAAAAAAATTAAAAAATGAAGATAAAATATTTTTTAAATTAGTCCAAAATACAATGGGGCCTTCGGAGGTTTTCAAATAATAAGAAAGTTTTATAACCATGACCAAAACCACTAGGGGTTTAGTGTATTTTACCCTTGAGATCGGAATTGTACCTTGATTAAACTTAGTCAAATATTGTGGGCAAGACTCTTTCTTCTTTTCCTTGTTGCAGCTAGCAAGACTCTTATCGTCATCTATCGGCTGGAGACTTCAGGTCCGTCTAACTCTAGGGATGGCAATTTGTGGGCAACCCGTCCCTATAACAATGATATTATTAATTATAAGTATTATATAATATATATTATTATATATAATATAATTAATATTATTCATTATTTTAATAGTTATATATATATTAACAAAAAAACATTAATTAGGAGCATGAGATTTATTAGATAAATGAAGTAGAGAAAGAGTGAAAAATATAGAAAAGTAAATTTTTTTTTTTTTTTTGCACATTATCAATGTATGCATGTGCAGTATTAAAATATCTTCCCTAAATAAGAGTGCAAGTAGCTCACAAAGCAACAACAAGGAAGAAGACAATGCAGAAGGTTGGTATATTAACCTAGTTGCTTCCAAGAAGTCCAGACGGAGAAAAGACTAATAACATTTATTGAAATGATGCAAACACGACAAGACACCACCAAGGTAAATACTATAATGCCTTGGCCATTTACCCAGTCCACTAGTAGATATTAAGCAAAAACCCATTAGAAAAATGTATTATTTGTTTTGCTATTTACCCAAAGGAAATTCTAACCACGTATCTCCTTTGAGGACAATAGGATGGAATTAATTTAGTTGCAAAGGGACGTGTACAAGGTACATAGATGTTCGGTTGGACGTTTATCTTTTTTTTTTTTTTTGGGTTTTAAATTCAAAGAACACATAAACCAGAAAAGAAATTCAAGATATTATCCCAACATTGAATTTTCCAGCTATAAACATAAAAACTGAAGAAATAAAACACCCTTTAAAAAAATATTGCCCATATTAAAAAATGGCGTGCAACTTTTCAAAAGTTCATAAAGTGGGAATAAGATTAAAAAATAGTGTGCAACTATTCAACCAATATTAAATGTAATAAGATTCGGCTTAAATTACATACCAAAATGTCCAGGTGGAAAAACTCATTGAATTTCTACCAAAATGAATTCCTTCTCCCTTTCCCTCAGTCACCAACTTTTAACTTATTCCAATAAACCAGATACACATTCACAGTTAGCTACCATTTTTAAAGAAGCAAAAAGGCACACAAACAGACAGACACATGCACGATTACGTGAACAAAATTTCGCAGCAAGTAACGTTCCAAAAACGTTACTATCAAGAACAACCATTGAGATTCTAACCAAAAGTAGTGGAAAAAAAAATAGGAAGATGCATAAGATAGAGACCCAAAATATGGAAGGAGAAATAGATCAAAATGAATAACTATAATTCCCCTTTTTAATAATTGTTCAAAGAGCGGTCAAAGGCTTAATATGTAATCCTTCGTCCTGCAAAGCAATTTAAAATAATTCCAAAGCATGACTTTTGCAGGATGAAAAACTGCCATCAGGAGTTTTTAGGGGTGTACAACGAATTTGAATTCGAAATTTTTTGAAATTTTGGAATAGGAATTACCGATCGATTTCAATTTCGAATTCACCAATTTTGATTCCGAATTCAATTCGGAATTTGGTAAATTCTGAATCCATCGAATTTGGAATCCTTTTTTCCTTTTTTCTTTTTTGTTAGACATATTGTTATATAATATAAATTTTATATTACATATATTATAAAAATATTATTATAATTATAATATATATTTATAAAATGAAATTGAAATAAAAAATATAATTATATATATAATTATAAAACGAAATTGAAATCGGAAATTTCGATTTCGAATTCTGATTTCAAAAACTTCATTATCGAATTCGAACCAAATTCGCTTAATTCGAAATCGAAAATTCCGATTTCAGTGCCGAATTGCGAATCACCGATTTTGAAAATTCCGAATTCAATTTGAATTCGATCGACAAATCGGAATTTTTTTCATTTTGCACACTCCTAGGATTTTTAGAAGTCATAACCTCATGTGGCAACCCCTCCTTCAAAACACGAATACTTTTGAAAATGCACAGCCCTTCCAAGACATTAAGTTTATAAATGCGCAGTCCTTTCAAGACATTATCAAGTTTACCACATTCAGAAACAGTTCATGCTAACAACTATAAGTATATATCTGAATGAAACCCAAGCATATTTAGAAGACTTTAATTCCAGAAAATTCTAACACTAAATAAAAAATGCACAAAAAATAAGACTTGCCGCACCTGGCTATTTTATTAGAGTATTGCTGTGTAGATATTCACATGGCAAGAAAACCTGTAAATAACCAAATTCACAAATATGAATTTAAATTAATATCAGAACACAACAAAAAATTCTACTCAAATTGAAATTACTGAAGTAGTGGACTTCCTAACTAAAAATTAGTGTCGGATTCTTACAAAATCACCAAGGAGATAATAGCAATGCTATGGTTACATACAAGGTTGCAATTTAGGAAGAAGCCACCTATAACGCCATCAAGGTTGCCTCGCCAAAATATAGCCTCTTAAATATTAGCTCAAAACCCGAAATATGAAGTAATAGGACATCATTGATCAGCAAAATCCAAATGAAAGTGAAAATAAGATGTCCTGTGATTTCTATTGCCTATAAACCCCAATGCAAAAGATGCTTTCGTATGAAGTCCTAGTTTCTTGCCAAACCATAAAACAAAATTCCCAAAATAAAGTAAGCAAATTGCCAAAACAAAAAAAAAATCAAATGTAAAGAATAGCTTTGATGGAAAACAAATAAAAAAAGGGGAAGCAGGGAGAGTTGAGAGTCCTCAATAAAGAGAAATGAGAGAAAGGCTTGCAAATTTTGAGAAAAAAAGGATAGAAAACATATTGCTGAAAATATGGTAATTAAGTGTAATCTAATGACCGGACGATGAGAAGGTACACGGCCCAAAAATCTAAAGGTTGGAAGAGATTCATTAGAAAAAATATTGAATCATGGTCGATAAATAGCACAAAAGTGGCTGATTTTGGAGACAAACATATCAACTCTGAAAGGCATGTATGATCTGGATGGACAAGAAGTACACCTAAAAGTTGGAGAAAGACAGTTTTGGAGGAAATGCATTGCGTCTAGTATGACTGTCAAAAGCATTCTCTGACTCTCTTGATTCTCTTACAATTAAGAGCCCAGCAAAGAATTGATCTTGATGTCATTTGATGGCTCAAATGTGGAGTGACCTTGCTGGAGAAAAATCTCTCCGTTCTAGCGGCCCAGTGTCAAGCAACAGGGGCTGTTATAGTGAAAGAGGACCTTTATTTATCTAGTAGGTAGACTAGAGGTACTTGACCTGTGCAAAGCGCAGTTTGGCCCCCTAGAAATTTAGTCGAATGCATAGTATCAAATTATTTTGCCACATGATGAATGAATAGAAATATAGGAGAAAAATTGAACATCAAAGCAATTAAAATTGACAAATATTATTTGAACTCTTATTTTTGTTAATCATACTTCCGCTATTATTTTTATCATATAGCTTTTGTTTATTGTAGGAATACAATTAATAAAATATGGAGAATAAATAAAATTTCTCTCAAAATTTGTTGTAAAGAGAAATCCCATCTATGAATTCAGCCTCCCTATTTATTGTGATTTGAATAAAGATTTTTGAACCACTATTATATGATACCCAAAAAGGAGAGAAAATTAATACACTATAAGTGCATTGATGTATTAATAGTAGTATAGTTTTAGTTAAAACTAAATCAAAAGCAGTCGTAATACTTTTAGTACTTTAATAATGAGAAAAAGTTTAGGAAGCTGCAAAAACATGGCACAATCTTCAACATCAATATAGCTTACTATAAACTTTCATATTTTTCTTTCTTTTGATAGAAGAATCCAGTTCATCTATTTAAATTCCGCCTAAAGGTGACAATATTATACTGCAGCTCCAGAATATAAATAGCAAGATTAGATAAAAATATGAATTGCTATGTTTCCTGATCTACATATACAAATTAGAATTGAACTATTTTTTATTGCAAAACCATCTTCCTAATCAAAATTGAATTTTCTAACAATTTTTTGTCAAGTCAAGCATATGACTCCTAAGACTCCCACTATATTGATTACCCGAGAACTAGCCCACCCTCTAGGCCGAAAGCCTCAATTGTGACTTCCACCACCGGCTGCAATCCTTGTATACCAACCCAATTGATACTACAACACATGAGTACTTAAAAAACAAACAAAAATTAACTTCAGTTTAAATATATACAAAATCTTATTGGATCCTTCAATTAAATTGAATAGGCCATAAAGTAATTGCAAAAAGAAAGAAATGGTGAAAAACGGAGGTACAAGAATGCCTAGCTAGATTTATCTTGGTGGAAACATCACATGATATATCTTTCTCCTAAAAAAATACACAAAATTGTAGATAATTACAAAATGGAACCAAAAAAACAAAGAAAAGGAAACAAAATGTGAAGTCAGAAATCAAATCATGGGAGGAGAAAATAAAAGAATGAATTTTTGTTCTATTATTCATAGAAAATGATCATTGGTATAAAATGAATTCTAAGATATTTTAATATTTCACCTTTTATCCATGAAGAACTACCAAATAAAAACATCATCCTATAAATTTAACAAACAAATGCCAGTTGGCTATAACATTATGATAAAAAAATAGAGCAAACATGAGAGATTAGAGATGAAGAAAAAAGGAAGAAAAGAAAATGTAAAATGGGATAAAAATAATAAAGAATTCTTTTAGCTAAGTAGCTATCATCTTGACAAAAAAAAAAAAGAACATGGCAACAATCTTAGTTAGATTAGTTTTCAAAAATAAAAAATAAAAAAGGTGAGGGATGACAGTAGTTACTGCAAGAAGAAAAAGAAGAGATGGAGTTGATTTTCTCAACGAGAAAAAATATTTTAATCCTTTAGCCCAATTGAATCAAAAAAGGGAAGGAAAAATTTAGGTAAAATAATCAAAGGTCCACTTGTCAAAAATATATGCAATACATGTGCCAAAAAGATGGTTAGCTATAGTAACTTGGATTTCTTTTTATATACAAGGTAGATATAGTCGGTAGATAAGTCCCTTGGGTTGGTTCGGATGGTGTCGGAGTAGTTTAGTTAGGTCCTGAGGTCGTATGTTCGAGTCACCTTTTTATTGTTTGTGTATCCTTGGGGGACGAGTGGCAAAGTTGGAATACTCCCTATGTTGAAAAAAAGAAGAAGATAGATATAGATATTTTATTATAAAAAGAGGTTAAACTTGAAGAAAAGTATTATCGGGAGATTCGAATATAAGATCTCTAATTGTTGGGATCTCAACTTTAGCTACTAAATTAAGATCTCCTCAGCTGATTGCACCTAGATCTAATTTATGACACACACGAATTCCATCATTAATTTATACATGAAAAGTCTCTTAAAAGTAATACATAAAAGACCTCTTAAAACTAATACAATTTATAGAGATTTTTTTGTAGGGATATTTTTCTAATTTATTATTTGGAAAAAAAGAGCAAAAAACAACATAGTAACACAATTGTATATTTTATTATAAAAAGACAATAAACTCATTAAAAATACTACAGGTAAAAAATATTTTGTGATTATTATTATGCAATCATAGCAATAGTATTCAAATAGCAAAGGAGAATAAACCCTCGCAAAAAAAAAAAAAAAGAGAAAAGGATATGAATTGTTAAAAAAAAAAAAAAAAACTCCATCCAAGATGTAAAAAAAAAATAGATTGCACCTGTATCTATTTTTTTTTTCTACCAGAGGATAGGTGGAGCTTAAAAGGCAAATAAGGGACAAGGAGATTTATATTCAGAACCTTTAATTTCTAGAATCTCAATTTTAACTACTAAACCAAGGCCTTAGAGACTGATTGCACCTCTATGTCATTTATTTATACATGAAAGGCCTCTTAATAAAAGTAATAATAAGGATTGCAGCAGCACTACAATCATATATCAAGCTTATTTCTTTTCCTTAATTTGAAAAAGCGAAGGCCTTAATAAAACTTCGGGAACAAAAATTAATACAAACTTGTTTCAAAGTGAGTAAAAAACTTGTGAATAATTTTTTCTCTAACTTATTATTAAAAATAGAAAGAAAACAACTGAGTAATAAAATTATATATTTTATTATAAAAAAGCTCACAAAAAATTACAATTTAGACAAATAATCATGACAAAGATGCAGTAAAATGGGTAGTTAAAAATCTAGAATGAATTTATTTCTTAATCTATTATTAGAAAAAAGCAGTAAACAATACAGTAGCCAATTGTACATTTTATCACACAAAAAAAAAAAAAAGAATAAATGGGCACAAAAAATTCCACACTAAAAAGGGTGTCTTTTTCGATTATTATTACAAAAGTAGTCGAATTCAAATAGCAAAAACAAAAGAAAGAATAAAACCCCACAAAAAATAGAAACCGATAGCAATTGTACATAAAAAAAGAAAACGGTATAAAAGAAAAGGAAAACCAACAACCCCATCCAGGAAGGGGAAAAACATGATCCTATCCATATCCAATTTGTAAGACATAGGTGAATATCATAATTCACACAAAAAAAAAAAGAAAACATTTCAAAAGCAATAAGCATTCCAGTAGCACCACAATTATATCATCATTTACGATTTACATTTACATAAAAAAGGTAAGAACTCTAGTACAGTGCAACTATAATTAATACCTATGAAGGTAAATAACAGTAATAATCATAAGATAATAATAAAAGTAACAACATGGTAAGCAATTTAACAGCAACAAAATTTTTCGGAAAAAAAAAGGAAAACAAGGGGAAAAAAGAGCAAAACCGGTAAGAAATGCGGCACCACCACAAATATAATATAATATAAGAAGAACAAAACTGAAAGAAGCATTCTATAAACTAACGGCCATTTGGACTGTTGATCATCATCATAGTCTTTAAGATTGGGTGGAACATAGTGCACCCGTTTGGTTTCGATGAAAGTTCAGTTTCGTCGTAGATCTGTTTGGTTATAGGTTAAAATTGGAGTAGGTATATTTTGGTAGACAAGTAACGATTGACAAAAAAATTAAAAAGGAAGGAAGGAAGCATTCTATACAAAAAGGAAAAGTACTACGTCATAATAAAGTAAAAGTACTACGTAATAATCAGCATTTTGGCAAGCGCAATTTCTTTGGCAAACTATTATTCAAGAAAAAGGAGGAAACTACATAATAGCACAATTGCATATTCTATTATAATAACAAAAGTATTATAAAAAATAAATTTGAGAAAAAATATTGTCGGAAAAAAAAAATCAACATGAGATTTAAACTTAGGATACTTAATTTCTGCAGCCTTATCTTTAGCTACTAAACTAGGACATCATCAGCTGATTACACCTATATTTAACTCATAACACAGTAAATTCCATTATTTATTTATACATAAAAGGTCCTTTATTAAATCCCATGATTCATCAAAGACCTCTCAAAAGCACCACAATTCATAAAGAATTTTTTGGAAGCGTATTTTTTTGGCAACTTATTATTCAGGAAAAAGGAGAAAACAACATAATGGTTCAATTGAATATTCTAACAATAGCAATACAATAATAAATTATTAATAATATGGCAAGCAATTTAATAGCAAGAGAATTTGGGGGAAAAAAGGGAAAAAAGAAGCCAGGGAAAAAAGGAGAACAAAACCAATATAAGAAATGTAGCAACACTACAAAATTATATATTCTAATACAAATAATACTAACAATAACAGTAATACACATAATACAAAAATAATAATATGGCAAGCAATTAAATAGCAGCAGAGTTTGGGGGAAAGAGGGGGAAATGAAGAGGGGAAAAAAAGGAAATCCAGCACCACAACAAATATAATATTACACAACAAGAAGAATAAAAAGAAGAAAAGAAGAAAACGGAAAGAACCATTCTATCCAAAAAAGCAACTTCCAATCCACAGTGCACGTGACTTGAGCATGCAGGAGGACGTTCACCAACTAATTTAAGGGATTTGGACATCATCTTTTTAAGCTTCAATTAATCCTGCAGATGTGCTTGGTGGGAAATGGAGAATAGTCCAAGTCCCTAATTTAAGCACTTCTTTCCACTTAATATGTAACTTCTTTAACATACAATACTTTCCAAAGGTAAAAAGTAACATAACCAAGTCTTTTTTTTTTCTTCTTTTCCTGTCTCTTCTTAATATTTGTTGGAAAAAGAAAAGGATGTTTTAACATATTAATTAATTGAGTGCATGGTTCTTTGTTGAGGAAAAATAGAAGCAATTTAAAAGTTTCTGTACTACTCTGACTGAAATGCAGAGAAGGAAAAGTGCATCATAGCAGAAATAAAAAAAAGGAATTGAGATTTTATGGCTAGTTGCATCAAGTCAATCAAAAAGGAAGCTCCAGAAATTGCTTTCAAGAAACTTGAATTAGACTCCTTGTGAGGGGATTGACTCTGTTTATGAGGGAGTAGACTCTTCTTCTTCTTCTTTGCTGGAACTCACAGTTCAATTAAGATCTCTAGCACTTCATTTCCCATATCTATCTGTTCTTGTTGAATTGCTTCACTGAATTTGCAACCGACTTGCGACATCGTTTCACCTCAATCATTTCAAGAGTCGGACATTCCCCTAAACAAGAAGGCAACTCTTCCAAGTTCCGACAACTATGCACAACCAATTTCTCAAGACGGGCAAAATTATCAAAAGATGCAGTCCAGCTGCAAAAGTCCCACAAGCCTCTCAATTTCAAGACTCGGAGGCTAGGGAACTCCCCTTCTTTCATTTCCCATTCTTCCCCAACGACGGAGTCATCGAGTAATTTAAGCACTTCAAGTTTGGGCAACTTTCCAATTTTTGAGATTTCACTCCATGGCTGAGTAGTCACTTGGAGTGTCAACTTCTTCAAATTCAATGGGAATTTAAATCCATATCTGTATAAGAAATGCAGAGTAAGTGATTCTAGTTAACTAAAATAGTCAAACATGAGAATCCCATCCCGAGTACATTTTTCTCTTGATGCCGTCTTCGGACATCTTAGCCTGCGGATGTTTGGCAACTTTGTCAGTATCTTTTGGAAGTTTTGAGAGGAGGGATCAATGGCAAGGCTTAAAGTGTCTAAATGAAATAAGCCTGGGCATACTTCAAGATTTTCAACAGGAAAAATGAAACCAGCATAGGAACTTGTAGTCCATAGATGCCTCAATGTCTTAATGTTCCAGATAGTCTTGGGTAACAAACAATGAGTGCAGTATCCTCGTAGCAGAAAAGTTTGTAACCTTGAGAGGTTAGCAAATAGCAATTGCAGCTGGGATGAAATTTACTTCTGTAGCACGAACAGCCAAGTATCTCAATTGAGCAAGCAAAAGTACTTCCATCGGAAAATATGCACCAAACTCCAATTCCCCCAAATCCAACACTCTAAGAAGTTTAGGTAACCAAAACCCCAAATCATCCTCCTTAAACAATAACAAACTGCGTACATTGGGAAATTCTAGCATTAACTCCCAAATCATCAAATTCCTGGCACTTCGATCACAAACTCGGAGGGGGTTGCTTGGACTAGTAAGAATAAAACGATCATTCCGACCATGCAAAACATGTAGAAAGTTTTCTTCTTTGGCTTTTTTCACACAAAACTCATGTACCAAATCATGAAGTTGGCAGGCTTTGGCACCACCTATGGTTCTTTGTTCAGAAATCATAACTAAACTTCTATCAATCAGATCCTTCAAATAGTCATCTGCGACATCCTCTAAACTCTTTTCTTCAGTCTTTCGCACGAAACCTTCAGAGATCCAGAGCCATAACAACCTTCGGACAGGAACATTTTCATCTTCTTTATATTTACCAAAGTAAAGAAGGCATGGCTTCAAATCATCCGATAAATGACTGTAACTCAGCTCAAGCGTCTTCATGCAGTATTCGTCATCAAGGACAATACTGGAAGTTAGACTCTTCGCAACTTCTTCCCAACAATCTTCTGCAGTATTAGCAAGAATTCCAGCAATGAGGACAATTGTGAGAGGTAAACCCCTACATAAGTTTGCTATTTGAGATCCAACTTTACCTAGTGTCGGAGGAAAACCTTCTTTGCCAAATAACTTTTTTTGCAGCAATTTCCAACTCTCTTCGTCAGTAAGGTGGCGGAGATGGTGAGCCTTGGTATCAGGTTTGAATTGCAATTGAATTCTGCTGGTGAAGAGAATCCTACTTCCGTTAGCATCATCGGGCAATGATCTCTCCATCAAATTCCATGCCTTAATCTCCCACACATCATCCAGAAAAATGAGATACCTATTTCTCTTTAAAAGTTTGTACAGCTTGTGAGCCAAATCATTTTCATCCATCTCAAGATATTCACCAGGACTTCTAGAAGAAATACTACATAAAAGCTGAACTAACAAACTGTGCATGCTATACACTTGAGAAACAGTACACCGAGCAAGGATATGAAAGTGGCTCAAAATTAATGCATCATTGCAAACTCTATTGGCCAATGTTGTCTTACCAAGTCCAGCCATACCCACAATTGAAACAAAATCCAACAGCTTTGAACCCCTGGTAAGACCATGAATAATTGCCTTTACCTCATCATCAAGACCCACCAGAACTTCATTCAACATTGGGGTGCGACATTTTGACTCAATGCGGAAAGATTTCTGGGTAGTTCTCTGAGCTCCACAGTCATGCATCGTGCTATCATAGGTTTCAAGGGCCTCAGTCCTCAAAAGCTGGATATCTCTAGCAACTCTTTCCAAATATTCATGTTTATCACCAACCACGATAGAGTCAATGACAAACTCTGCCCTGTGCGCAACCTCCATAACACGACTCCAAAGAGCTTGGAGTTTTCCATTCCGGTTGCGCTGGTCTGCTATCTTGACAAGGAAAGATCTTAAGACTATGAGATCTTCTAGGACTGTGTGGATTTGATCTTTCGGGAATGCAATTGAATAATCAGTCTCACTACAATTTTCTAGTTCCTTCAGATTTTCAAGGAGAAAATCCATAGAGCCCAACTCATTGGTCCTAGGAAAACCAAATGGCGAGAATAGTAATGTAACTGGATCAGTAACTTCTGCCCTAATAAACTTGAGCACTTTAAGCAAATGAAAAAGAGCAAGATCGGTTTCCTTGGCCAAGCCTTCTTTGATTTGATTCACAGAAAGAGAGAAAATTACAACCGCTGCATCACAGGCCACAACTCCAATAAGATTCTTCAGTGCATGACATAGCTCTTTGAAATTCTCCTGATGCCTGAGAAGGATTGTAAGGAATCTTAGCCCGTCAAGGAGCTTTAGCATTTGATTCATAATCGGAACAAGAATATTGGTACGAGAGTTCAGCAGCTCCACAAAATTGGGAACGAGACGATACATAAAGTCAGCTACTAGATGCTTGTTCTTCTCCAGAGCTGAAATGTCTGCTGATCTTGATAACTTTGCAGCAGTCATGACATGGATGTAAGTTTCTCGGACCTGGGGATCACCGGGATTAATCTTCTCATCTATTAGTCGAGAAATTTGAAGTTCTGTTTCATTCTGTACTTCTTTATCTACGTGAAGGCACCATATAGAAGCCAGGTGTAATGCCTTGATAGACACCACTTCTGCGTGAATCAAGAGATCTATCAGTTGCTGACCCTTGACACCGCGAAGCATGGCGAAAAGAATGAAACTCTTCAAGAACATTAGCTTCTTTACAAGGCGTTCGAAATAGGAGCCAATCATTTCCGCCAGAGACTTTGAAACCGAATCAATGAAATCCATAACTAGCTCTGGATCTCGCAGCCAGTAACAGTCCAGCAGATAGTTGATGCACGATTCGTTGATATCTGTTTCGAAAAACAGCTCGATTGCTTCCTGGAATATGATGAGCTCACTTATGATCTGAGACGAAGCAGGTGAACGAGGGTGAATCAAGTATTCGCTGCAAGCAAATTCAAGATCTTGCATTCTCCTGATAATCAGATCTTGAATTCTGAAAGAAGTAACATCCTTCTCCTCATCTTGTTCCAAACAGGTTTCATGGTTCCTCCTCCTACACTTTGTCAGATACAGATCAAAGCTTTGTAACACTCTCACCTCGATCTCCAGCTTAAAGGTAGCAAAATCGAAGCTAGGACCGAATGTCTTACGGATCCAGCCCAGATAATCGAAAAAGAGCTCAAAGCAATTACTGTAGGATATCTCCATTCTTGTATCTTCTATTCACTCTGACATCAAATTTGTATCTTGAATAAACTTAGTTCGTCCGCAGGACTCTCTGGAGACAATAGGGTCCGTTCCTCGGCGCCTAAAGGAGTCAGCTTTTGTCTACTTTCGGCCGAAGTGCATTTCCAAGTAATGGACACAAATCTAGATCCTAATGCAGTAAATGGTTTATAAATGCTTACTGTTCATTTTCGATACCCACAAAACTTGTAAATATACCAGAATGTAAACGCTACAGTCAAAACTGTGACAAATTATCCTACCAATTTAGATACGATACGATGGACTTTAACTGTGATTCTCTTGTCAAAACGAATTGTTTGTTAGATACTTCAACAAGGGTACACACATCAATCCAAACAGAGCCACTAATGTTGTTGTCCACTACTTCAGGTAATATAAACTTTGCTGGTTGCCTTTGGGTCCCCAGCGAAAAATTCTTTCTTTCTTTGCTGGAAACATGCATGGATATCTCCGTCCTATACTACTAGAGCATTGGGAGAATAAAGATCCTGACATGAAAATCTTTGGCCAATTGCCTAAGGTGAAGGGCCAAATGAGCTACATCCAGCGCATGCAGAGCAGCAAGTATTGCATATGTGCAAGAGGCTACGAAGTATAGCCTGGAACCATTTTTTTTTCCCCGTGTTGACTGTGCACGGTAGGGGACAGGCAGTTATTTAAAAAAATTTTGCAGCTGCTGCTGTGCTGCAAAAAAAAAAAAAAAGTGCCTCAATGATTTGAAAATTTTGTTTTGCTACCGTGTTGAATCAGCACGGCAGGTATAGTTTGAGAAATGCCCCTAGTCAGAGCTACATTTGGAAGATTTTTTTTTTCACGTATATTCTGAAAAATTAGCTAGCAAGCATGTAGGTACTGGAGAAAATTCATTCTTAATGGTTCTACTATTTTCTTTGACATATAATTCATGCACATTTTTTTCCCTCTCCATTTTCTTTAACAACCCAGTAATGTCAAAATTTTCCTATTTCAGAGCTATGTTAACTTTGTGAATGTATTGCTTCCATTATTTATTAAACTATTTTATTAAATGTTTTCTTCTCAAAATTTGAAGTTAAGCTTTCGCATTTCATGGGCAACAGGGTTTCCAATAAGTTGCAAGTTTGGCTTCTTGTTTCTTTAGGTACTAAAAACAACAAAGGTTAGCACCTAAAGAAACAAGAAAATGAGAAAGGAAAATGTTAGCCAATATCTTTAACAATTAACATAATCAGTCATATCTACCTAGTCTAGAATGTTGTGCATATTAAAAAGAACTCTTGCAGATAAACATATACGTGTAAAATCCTGATTAGAAGGGCTAAGTGTAATGAGCTATCACATAGCATGAAAATATGTAGTAAGCCAAAATTGTTCTTATGTTAACTAAAAAAAATTATATAAAGATAATACATATTATTGCGTAGTTTGGCCAAAAGAAAATAACATCCTACTGAAAATTTTGAAGTATTTATTACATGTAAGTCTAATAAGTGATATAAATTTTTCCTGAAGATATGTAGTCAATAACGGAAATCACAAGAAATTCAAACAATTGTAACGTGTGATTTTAAGTTACGTGCTTCATCATCACTATGGTTCGTGGTTTGCAGAGGGAAGATTGTGGCTATTTCTTTTTTTTTTTTTCAAATTATTTTCCTTTCTAATTTGAACGAACCTCATGAAGTTTCATTAAAGTGCATAAGATATAATGGTCCAAGTTAGAAGTGCTTATTGTAGTCATAATTCTTTACAATTAATGCCCAAAGATTCAAAACTATGGCTTTTCAAATCGTGCATTCTTCTTCTCCACAAAATTTCCCCCAAACAGTACCATGATTCTTCTTTGGTACCTACCTAAAGATTTTCCATTTTGACTTTTTTCTGTCGTGCGTTCTTGATAGAATTTGTCACCAACTGATAGGGTGTTAATTGTTGGTTATTTTACTATTAATCTCTTTTTTTATCCTTGCCAAATATTGCTTAATTGTTAATATTTACTTATATTTGGTATTGGACCCAATTTCAGGGATTGAAGCAGAAAATTACCAAAAAGGAGGGACTTGTATGAAAAAATGCAGACTTCTAAGGGCTTCAACCTTTGGGTCCTTGAATTGGTGGGGACCACAAGCCAGTGCAAGGCATTTAGTCATTTGGGCTTTTCAAAGAAAGTTACGTAGAGAGACTTGGAGAAAGAAGTACTTTGGAGGCTTTGTCCACATGTGTGGGGACCACCTAGATAGCTTTTAGTCATCTTTCTTTTGTTGCTTTAAAAGGGGACAACGTACAGAAGCAAAGGACATCGAGGGCTTTAGTTTTAGTTTTTTAGTTTAGTTCTAGTTTCCTTCCTTTGGACTGGCCTCTGACACACGCCAGGTGTTCGACAATATTCCCCAACGGGGAGATTTTCTCATGAGACGTGGTTAAGCTTTTCTAGTCAAGGGGACAACTGACGATTTGGTTCGACAACTACTGTGAGATCGAATCTGTTTTAATTATTTTCTTCATTTATTGGTATTTATATGTTCCTTGATTTTAATTGCTATGGCCTTGTGTATGATTGATTAGTGCGCAATAATTAATTATTCATATAGGCTATTTTTGCTAAATAGGGGTAATTGAATCCGTAATTGTTCGTTATCTCTACCTCAGTAGCAACTGGCGTAATTGGGTTTATGTCAGGGGAGCATATGATCTAATTTAAACAAACCCTCGTAGCGTGTTTGTTGGTTAGGATTGGCCTTTCTAATTATTAATGCAATCTAGAAATTAAATCCTACGGTCGTACCTAGGGTTATTTTTGGGTTAGAGAAATAGCTAACGGTCGTACCTTAGCTATCGAGAAATTAAGGAAGGGTTGGTTGTTTATCGCGTGCATGACAACTATAACTAATCTATTGCTAAATGTTGGAATTATTTCTGCATCAATGATCAGTGCATGAACCATTTCTGATGTGTACCCTTGGCTAGAGTTTCCCCAATCATTTCTTTTAATTAATTATTTTCTGCAGTTAATTTAGTTAGTTAGCATTTAATCCAAAACCCCCCCATACTTTGGACTCTAGAAGAAACGAATTATCCCCAGTCCCTGTGGATTCGACCTTACTCACCGCTATATACAAAATCTGTATTTTTCTCGAGTAGGTATTTATTATTGCACAGGTTCGGCACCTGTCACCAACAAAATTTATTATTGTGGAAGTCAATCAAATTCTAAGCTTATACAAGGCACAAACAGACAGGTCACAATTCCAAGATCTCAAAGACACAAACAATCCAACGGTAAATGAAAATTTTCTATCCTCAAGCTATATGACACGCTCATAAATTTGGTCCTTTGTGGTTATTAGCGATTTAATTTTAGTATTATTACATGAAAATCTTCTATTCTCAAACTATATGACACACGATAAATTTGGCTCTTTGTGGCGTTTGGTTATGAGCAATCGAATTTAGTGTTGTTGCATTTATCTATTTTAATGGGAATGTCCATACCTCTCTCCAAAAAAGATATACAACTAATTTTGAATAGTGAAGACTAATGTTTGTCTTTTCGAATTGCTTTACAATTGACTACTCCCATAGCTCTTAATCTCTAAGCATGGCTTTGCCTAACGCGTATCATTACACAAGTTCGCCTAGCTGTGAGAAAGCCATCGCAATCCAATGTTTTAAAACTCGGACTGTCAATTGAATCGGTGAAGTGAAAGGGCCGAGATTCAACCGGTTGGACCGGTTCGATCTCGGTTCAATAAATTTTTTTAAAAATAATTTATATATATATATATATATATATGCACAAAATAAGATATGCAATGGACTAATTTAAAACTTTATATGATAAAAATTTTACTATTTTTGAATAACTTGGATTTTCCAAAAATAAATTTTTTAAATTTTAAGTTGAAACAAATAAATTTCATCTCAATTTCAATTATATCTACCAAAAAAATCTTAAATCCATCCAAAAAATATCACAATATTTTGAAATTATACAAAATTCACGTCCATGAGAATTTAGACATTGTGAAATTAAATTTTAATTTACGCTTTTGAGATTTAGAGATTGCAATTTAAAAAAAGGAAGTTTGGAGTTTGAAGGAAGTCAAGAGAATCGAAAATAGAAATACAAACTTGATAAGAAACAAAAAATGAGATAAAAGTGAGTGGCTGTGGCATTAAATAATTTGGGTTAAAGAAAAATAATTCTTTTTTAACTTTTTTCAATTTAATGGACAAAAACAAAATTAAAAGACGGAAGAAAACATCAATAAATTAAAACTAAAGAGGTTTGATTAAAAAAGAGTGACAAAAGAAAAGAGGAGAGAGAGATAGAGAGAGAGAGAGAGTTGAAGATTAAAAAAAAAGAGTCATAAGAGAATGAGATTTTGTAAAAAAAAAAAAAGGAAAAAAGAAATATGGGTGTTTATTTTATATAAATAAATTATAAAAAAAACTAATAACATGTGATGGTGCAATGGTTACTACACTAGTCTTTTATTACAAAGGTTTTGAATTCGAATCTTGATAGCTGTATTTTGTAAAACTTAAATAAATAAATAAATAAAAGAGGGGAAACTTGAAAACCAGAAACCACCGGTTCAGCGGTTTTTCACGAGTTGATCGGTTTTGACCGATTTTCTGACAAAGTCAACACTAACATAGAATCGGACCGGTGCCATGGCCGGTTTGCGGTTCAATTGATCAAACCGGCTGGTCCGATCCGATTTTCAAAACACTATCACAATCTAGTTTTATAGAGACACTGTGCTAGTCAATATATGGTCTCTCCTGGTCTGAATATATGTGCCTTAGCTTTTATGGCATTGTGGCCTCATCTAAATCAGTTGAAATGAACCCAGGGTTAAATCCCCTGGCACTTGGTTGTTAGAATCCAAAACCTTCCTTCCCCCTTTGTTTCCCCTAATTTGGAAAACCACAATAAACAATTTTTGTAATAAAGGTATGAATTTAGCATTAAA